TTTTTTTTCAAGCATTTTTTTTAAATTTTTTTAATTAAATGATAGCTGTATACATTAATGCAAACATGGGGTACAGTGTAGTGTTTTCATATACATTTTGAAATACTTTCATCAAGCTGGTTCACATAAATTTCATGTCATTTAACATAACTTAATGAAGAACATGTTGTCAGTCATTTCTTTCTTTGTTCTTATCTGATGAAGCCTGAGGCTACGGGAGAAAGAGACAATTTGAATGTCTGTTCTACTGACCATGCCATTTGGAGGCAGTTACTTCAAATCTTTAAGCGTAGTATAGAGAAACTTCTTGGGCATACAGGAATTTGTGTGCAAACCTCTGCTCCCATGTAGGCCTTAAGTCAGGGGGTTTTTGCTGGAGCCTTTTATAAGGAATTCTCAGGCCTAACTTCTCAAAAGCTTTCAGAGCCCAGGTTTCATCTGTGCCATTAGATACCTGTATGCATTGGGTAAATTCCTCTTCTCTTGAGGTCCTCTAGCACATTTCCATTTCTGGACCTGTCAGCAAGTGACCTTCGTTACTTACCACAGATCAGGAAAGGATACTGATGGGTATCTGGCCAGTTTTCCGAAGGGCTTTTGCATTGGCCTTATAAAGTCAACCTTAATTCCTTAATGCAGTCTGGAAATGCTATTGCAGCCAAAGCCTTGGTCATGTTAGGCCCGCAACTAACCTGGCCATATGGGATTCTGCCTCAGTTTCTCACAAGTGTGCCTGCACAAAGTCTTTTCACTGCTCTCTCTCAAATGGCATTTTTGGCCAGAGGCATATAGGCGTTTCGCCTATATAGCTACAATGTCCAAATCGACAGATGTCAGGCTTCCTCCCTAGGCTTCCCTCTTTTTCTGCATCTTGGAATTTCTTCATTGCTTTGATATTACTCTGAGGCTTTGAAATGGGTCACAGTATTTTGTTTAGTTTTTCCAATTGTTCTCTGCAGAAGAGTTGTTTAAACTCCTTTACTTTGCTATTCCTGCAAGCTATTTTTACTATATTGTTAAAATATAATTTATTTAACCAATCTATTATGGTTAAAATAATCATTTTGTTAAAAAAGCAATTTACTCATTTTATTAAACTTCTTATGGCTTAATTTTTGTGCCTATTTACAGTTTTTCCACATACGCATGTAAATTTGAAGTAGAACTTCTGTGTTAAAAGTGTGCAAAAGTTGAAGGCTTTTAATTCATTTTTTAAAAATAATTCATATTTCTAAATTGCCTTCCGGACACTCTGTGATTTGCGCTTCATCAACAGTAGATGAAATGAGCTGCCTCTTGCTCTCTATTGATCTAACTCCCTAACTGGATGTGTCTCCTTCCCTCCTGCAGGCTCGTGCTCTAACACCTCAAACTGCAGAAACAGATGCCATTCGCTTTTTGGTTGGGACGCAGTCTCTTAAATATGATAATCAGGTAACTATTTCTGACAAATGTATACATGTTAATTACTAAGCCTATTCTTAGTTTTATAACCATTTTGCTCTTGATTTTTCATGCAACATTTGAGAACAAAAATTGATGCCACACAAACAAAATAGAACTTTCATTGGATTTAAGTGTCTTTCAAATCAAAGTATATTATCCAACCATATATGCATAATGAACGGTCAAGTTCAATAATTTAACATACTCTGTTCAACATTACTTCCATCATTTTGTTTTGCTTTTTATGTGGGCTTTACTGATAAGTGACTGAGTGGCGGTCTGGGGTATGTGGAAAGCAGTCCTTTCCTCTCCAGGCCAGCACATGACACCGTCAGCTGCCCACAGCACTTCTTCTGAGTGTGGACTGGAGTACAAGTCCATCTCCACAAAGTGTTCCAGACGGTCTCTACCAGCTGATCTGTGGGTGTACAGGGTGTAACTCACTTGCTGTTCTGGCCTGGCAGTGATGCTTATGAAGTCTGGATTCAGTTCACGACTTGGCACTGACCATGTGACTTGGAGCAAATGGATAAAGCATGGTAGACTTCATTTTCCTCCTCACTAGAATCAAAATAAAAATGTCTGCTCTGTGTACCTCACAGGGATGCCGTGGCAGTTGTAATTATCTGTGA